TATATTGTATAATCAACTTTTATACTTATTACTTCAATATTTCTTATATTGCTTGTGTGTATATGTACACTTTTTTTTATTTTAAAAATTGAATCTGGAAACTTGTAAAATAAAATAACGCTAAATGCTTAGACGTTTAACTTAAATACTTTTAATCTAACTTTTATCAGAATTGTTAAAATACATCGATCGAAAGGACCAATATTGTGTTTATAGCTTTCTGCTTATGAACTGCGAGCCAAGTAAAGTTAAAAGAATCGATGCTTCGGTAAACGGCACTCCTGCTTGTCTACACACGTACTCTTGATGTGAAACCCCGTCGAGTCTCTCTGAATAGAAAAATTGTTAATCGTGTAAACGGCTGGCGATAGTAAAAGAGTACTATATCCCTTTGCACGCGAGGCCGTAAATGGCGCGTAATGCACGCTGTACTTCAATACATCGCGTGTAACACCGACACATATGACGCTGATGCTTTCATGATCTACAACATGATACATACGAACAATTACGACCGACATACGCGAATATCATGCAGCGTGACCGGAGAACGTCACGCAGTTGTCAAAACATCAATCATGATAAAAATGTATGCGCATAATCACACGCATAAAAAAATATCTGGATTTTTATAACCGATTTTATTATATGATTAAATTCTCTCCTTACGTTGGCAAATTGCTGCAAAGAGAGATCCACAAACTTTCCGACCGTGAGTGTCAAGTATTTCTGGGATCTTGTAATCATTAGAAGAACATCTTGATGCTGGTTCCGATTCAATTCGTACCAAAGCGATTCATACGCCGCATCGCCGATCATTCTGCTCTGTAACATAACATAAAAAATTTTTGTCGTAGAATAGCATCCGGTATGATTTACAACGTGTATTGCATACTGACTTTTGTGCTGAGATACTCTCCGATGAAACAAAATATAAATGCATCTAAGCAGATGACAACATAAAATAACACCGATTTTATTAATATTGTCGATCCACCCGGGACACCGATTGACTAGAAATTTTGAAATAATCTTGTATATATCGAAAAATGATTAAATTTACGTTATTACAGAATACTCACAATCACCATCAGAAATCCTAGACAACAAATAACCAGAGTGTTTGAGACGAATTGTATCAGCGCGATGCTTGAGAAGAGGCCCTCGATGTTCTTGGAGAACGAGATAATTCTCTGATGACGAGCGATCAACGTTTTCATGATACTTTCGGTGACACCTCGCTCGATGTTCTTCCGCGTGATTTCACTCAACTTTTGTCGCACTATATCGATCTGTCCACAGACGTGAAGCACCTAAATGTCACGATATGCACTCGGTTCAATTTTCACGCCTGATATAAGAAGCACGAAAATTCTCTGATAGTTTATATTATTAGTTTATTTCTCAGATTAAAAAAGAAATAACGCATTAATTATTTATATCTGTTATTTCATCTTGGTTAAAATATTTTTCATTATATGTCATATCGGAGCTATTTTTTTTCTAGAAACATCGATATATTATAAAAAGCACTTACTAGTGTTATTAGCAAGGAGTTTAACACGCCTACCGTACTAGCTGCGCTGGTCTGATGTACAAATTGTGTAACTAAAATAACAATATACATTGACGTGCTCTTGATCTCAAAAGGTAACTCCATCTTGAGAAAGAGCTCTCGAGAATCGGTCTGATTGCTATTCTTATACCTAAGCAGAGTACCGATAGCATAGAGAAACACTGACATCGCGTATATAGTGATTATCAAATTGGAGAACCGACGAGAGATGTAAGCTATTCTGGTCATTGTGTACTCTTCGGAGATATCGCGTCTCTTCCAATCTTCGACTACGCGCGCTATGATTTTATTCAGCAGACTATAACATTTGAGAAAATATTGAACGATACATAGAACGGCAAGATGGATTATTTCGTGAAATCATTCCGATTCGAAGCAAAATTTAAGAAATTTATTTATACTAAAAGTTATATTTTCACAATTTTCAATCTCAAATCTAAGATATGAAGATCCTGCGATCCCTGCGATCTGCTTGTTTTGCAAATCGTACTTAGCTATAAGAAAGCTTACTGAGCGTTGAACATGAAAATAATCAGCTTGATAAACAGAAGGCTGTAAGCCAGAGTTGCGCTCAATACGTCCATCAGGATAAAAAGATCCTCTTCGCCAAAATGCATGATCAAGTATCGATATTGAAAAGTCTGAAACACTGCCATCGAGGATAGGCACAAGATTTGGCGCAAAATTGCGTATGACGTGTCTGGCCATACGCCGATTGCGCGCAGACCAAACTCTACAGAGTGACACACGGTATTCATCGAGTCTATCTCGTTATTCATCGAATCGAAATAAGTGAGACACGATAGCACTAATTTTAACTCAAACAAGAAAGAGAGAGAGAGAGAGAGACTCGCTCTAGCCCGGGATTATCTATGTCGTACGATTATTACTATACGTAACTTAAATATTTTGCAATAAAACTACAACGCGGTTGCACATCCAATTTCGTAAAGTCATCGGTTAGAGGAAGAGTGTCGAAACTTCAGATCGCAGCATGTTCGATAGCCGTAATCCAGTCGTGGGTGAATATAGTCGGTCGAGAGGTCTGAGCGAGACTAAAATTTTCTGTGGATTAAGCACTCGAATAACTCCCATCTCTGCCATAGCCGACCAATAAAGATCGTTTATTACGTATTTCTATCGCGTAATTATTTCCATCTTGGAAGTTGCATGAGGAAAAAGATTATAAACCGATATATCTCCAATGATTATAATAATTGCAAAAAAAAAACAACCACGCGAAGACATCTATGCATTTTCTCATGTACGCATCGCTCGGACGCTGTCTGTCATTTGCATTAAAAATGCAAGGCAAACGTTCACCACCATGCTGAAAGACTCGCGCTGTACTCAACATTATAATTTCGTATAATTCAAATAGCACGAATAATATATACCAGGTACCGTAAACGCAAAGGTTGATTTTAATCATCAATCTGAACGTGGTTATCCACATCTTTTTCCCAAAAGACGAATAGAAACTTGGAAGATTACTCGGGACACGTTATCAACCAACTTCTCTAAAATCTCCTCGCGACCACAACTGTCACAGCTCTGTGTCATTTAACATGGACCAAACATTATTTGTCAAATATATGGTCTGCTTTACAATACAAAAAAATACAGCTATAATTTCAAAGACAATGTTTTTTTGTAATGTAATATATTACATATATAAAATAGGAGAAAGGGGCAATATATAAAATTAATTTTATATAATACTTTTTATATAAAATTTTTTTGTGTATATGTACTTATATCTTTGTATATTTTTTTCATTATTTTTTGAAAATCTCTCCAGACACTCATATTTTATAAGATAAAATGGTACTTTGACATTAGATGACTAAATTTAGTCGTTAATTAAATGCTTTTATTTTGATTTCACAGAGAATCAAGTATCTTATTTTATCAGAACTTGATGTGTTTCAATAAACGATATCTCTGGTCGTCTATATATGTCTCTGACTAAGAAAATTGCTAATCGTGTAAACGGTTGGCGGTAGGAAAATTACTCTCTTTCCTTCTGCACGCAAAGATATAATGTACGATAGGGCTTCAATACATCGCGTGTAGCACCGACATATATGACACTGAAGCTTTCATGGTCTACAACATGACAGAAGCAATTACGATCGTCATACGTGTATATATATCATATCGGCATCATGTGACTGGAAAATACCGTTTCGTTGCTATAACATTATTTACGTTCACGTTCTACGCACAAATAAAACACGCCTACATTTTTTTACTCTTATTATCACATTAAATGCTTACGCTGGCAAATTGCTTCAAGGAAAGGTCCATGACCTTTCCGATCGTAAGCGTCAAGTGCTTCTGCGATCTTAAGATTATGAGAAGTATATCTCGATTCTGATTCGGGTTTAATTCGTACCAAAGCGATTCGTACGCTGCGTCGCCGATCATTTGGCTCTAAAATATTATGGTAAATTTTTCTCACATATAACACAGCATACATCGTATTCGATATGTTTGTTAAACAGTATATACCAACTTTCGTGTTGAAATGCTCTCCGACGAAACAAAATATAAATGCCTCCAAGCTGATAAGAACGTAAAATAACACTGATTTCATTAACACCGCCGAACCGCCCGGGACACCGATAGACTGAAATTTTCAAAAATGCCTTGCCTCCCAAAAAGATTATGTCATTTCGATTATGTACTTACGATCACAATGATAAATCCTAGGCAGCAGATAACCAGAGTATTCGATATGAATTGTATCAGTGCGATATTCGAAAAAAGCGCCTCAATGTTCTTGGAGAACGAGATGATTCTCTGATGTCGGACGACCAACATTTTTACGATGCTATCACTCGCATCTCGCTCGATATCTCTCCGCCTGATTTTACTCAATTTTTCTCGCACTATGTCAATCTGCCCACCCACGTGAAGAACCTAAATGTCACGGAATGCATATCAATTCATTTTGATATATACGTATAACGAAAATTAACATTATTTTTAATTATCACCTATTATTTATTGATAAATTTCTGAAATGGTTTCTTAAGTCCCCAACTTTCTTTTTTTTTTGTCTGCGTTGCACTAATATTTTTCAACAATTTTCGGAAACACTGACATTTTTACGAGAGAATGCACTTACCAATGTTATCAACAAGGAGTTCAAGACACCGGATATACTAGCCGCACTTGTCTGATGAACAAACTGTATAACGAGAACAGCCACATATACCGATGAGCTCTCGATTGCGAATGGCAACTCCATTTTAAGGATGAGCTCTCGAGCGTCGGTTTGATTATCGCTTCTGTGTTTCAACATGGTGCCGGTCGCGTAAAGGAACACCGACATCGCATACGAGAAAATTATAAAGTTGGAGAAACGATAAGAGATGTAGGCCATCCTGGTCATCGTGTAATTATCTGAAACTTCACGCTCCTTCCAATCGTCGACCATGACCGTTATAATTTCGTCCAGCAGACTATAACGGATTATTTGAAGTAATATTGACCGATAAAACTAATGCGAAGCATTGTCGAAGTTGACATAAATCAAAAAAAATGCAGAGCGTAAGAATTATGTAAAAATTTTAAATCGTATTTTGCGTTTGGCCATTTCGAATCTAGGATGTACGCAATCCGACGTGTGCTTGTATCGCGTTCTGAACTTAATTCTGTGCTCAGTATACATGCAAATGAAGAGAGCTTACCGCGCGTTGAACGCAAAAATAATGAGTTTGGCAAACACAAGGCTATAAGTAAGCGTTGCGCTTAGTACGTCCATGAGGAGCGGTAGATTCTCCTCGCCAAAGTGTACTATCAAATGCTGATACTGAAAGATCTGAAACACCGCCGTCGAGAATATACAGAGGAATCGCCGTAAAATTGCGTACGACGTGCCCGGCCATACGCCGATTGCGCGCAAACCGAACTCCACGGAATGACACACGGCACTCATCGACTTTATCTCGTTCTTCATTGAGTCAGTCGAATAAAAGTCAGCTTTACAACAATATTATAGCACGTGATTTATCATTAAGTTTAGTTTATTCCGCTTTCCTCTTAGATCTAAATATTGTAGGTAACACTACAGTCTACAAAAGAGACATGATTGCGCTAACAGAAAATTATCTAACTCTAATATTTAATGCAAATAATTAACACAGCATTGAAACTACGACACGGTTGCACTGATGAAACGTCAGATTTCGTATTATCGGTTAAAAGACGAGCTTCAAAATTTCCGATCCATAATCTTACTCCAGTTGTGGTTGGTTGGAAGGTCTTAGTAAGACTGTAAAATTCTATATATTGAACAATCAAGTGACTACCACCTCAATTGTAATCGACCAATAGAAATTACTCATCGCATATTCCCTTCACATTTTTTTTATTATTGAGGTCATGAGTAAAAGCTATAAAACCGATGCATCGGTAATTGACAGGGTCGCAAAAAAAGAAAAGACAGAGAAATACAAAAGTGCTCGTGCACCCTCATCGTGCACGCATCATTTGATCGCTGACCGTTATTTGCATTAAAAATGTAAAAGAAATATTTTTCACTGTGTAATGGTCCTAAGAGTTCTGAGACATGCTTTTATTATCATGATGTAAATACTACGGTTGACGATGAATATGGTAAGATTTTGTAAAATGAAGACTGTCTCTATCCAAGTTTGAACGTCGTTGCTCGTATCTTTTTTTTAGAAGGCGACGAGAGAAACTATTAATGTATTAATTAATATTTATATTTATATTAATATTAATATTGAGATAATTAATAATAATATTAATTCTATTAATATTATAAAAACATGTGTAGAATAAGCTGTTATA